GGGGGGGCTTGGGGCAGTCTAGGGGCTATTTTTAGCTCCCTACCCCTGCACCAGAGAACCTACAACTACACCCCTCCTACCCCTTTCCCCCCCACCCCGATACTTAATTCCTTGGCTCCTGGCATCCATGAATGCTGATAAAACTAGAGGTACCCACAGCAGCTTGTGGGATGGAGGGTTGAGGAAGGGCTGGCTAGTCTGTTGCGGGGGAGAGGAGTGAAGAGCTGGGCGACCCTAAAAATAACCTGGTGCCAGGGGGGCAGGTAGGAAGAGTTTAGGCTTGGTACTAGGGCCAGCAGCTTGCCTTTACCAGCCCTGAGGCTGCACAGGTAACTATTTTGATGTTGAATGTACTGGTGTAACCTAGATCGATTAAATTTGAGTGTATATCAATCCAGGTCTATCTTAGATCAGGTTCTGCCATTTTTAAAATAGTCTATATATGCAGAATTTCTGTACAGTTAGGTTTAGGTTGATTTCCAATCGCTGAGAACGAGTCCAAATGTAAGGTCCGCAGTGAGGGCAAGCTAAGTTAGATCAGATGGCCATATTTAATGTTATCTAACTTCCTAACCCCCACTAATGTCTGTATTTTGCCTAACAGTCATTTCTCTTCTAAGGTAAAATGTCTTTTATAAAGTACCAATGGTGGCAGTTGTTTGTGAGAAATTGTAAGTGTTGACAGTTGTCCATGGGTTCAAGAAGTTTTGAAACCACCGAACAGCTTAATAACCAAGTCTAGTGATAAGAAAACAATGACAACGACGCAAAACTAATTAATCTACAGTTGCATTTAGAGCACCTGCCACATGGAGAATAGAACTTGACATCCCTAAGCGTTTTTACAGGTGGTCCTGAAGAGCGGGGGGAGTGCTTTAATCAGAGGGTCTCCAAGACCCTCTGATTAAAGCACCTGCAGTGTCTTACGTATCAATGTCCCCATGCTTCAAAATGACAATGGTGGGGGCTTTAACTAAAGCTTGTCGAATGAGCTTTAATTAAAGTGCCACCACCACCATTTTGAAGCACAGGGACTCTGATTAGCACTCTCCAACAGACTCCATTAATCAAGTCTGCTTAATAATGTAATTACAGCCTCCCTGAATGTCTACAGGGTTCCTAAGAGTGCTCATCCCTGCCATATAAACTAATTTTAGCTTAATAATGGTGTCCCTCTTGTAGATTAGTGATGAAATGGCAATACCATAATAATTAAGTGAGGTGAAATATGCCCTTGCATTCCAGAGATCACAGCAGCACTGCCCTATGCTCATCGAGGAATCCCAGTAAGCTACAAAAAATAGTTCTCAGAGTAGTGAAGCCCAAGCTGGTGAGCAGCAATCAGAAGGATAATTGAACTTCCCCTCTTTGTAGAGTGAGATACTAGACCCTCCAAGGAATAACCCTAAAAGCGGTCTGGAGTAGCAGAGCCACCCATTATGCATGCACAAAAAAATAGTCTAAGGTGGCAAACTCATTTTAAAGAAACTGCGTTGATCAAGGACAGTGATATTTCTACCCAGGGCAGAGGGGAAAGGGTTCCACTTTCAGGATCTGTCAGAGAACACAATTTGTAAAATACAAGTGTGACTATACTCAATTTTTGTGAAGAATTGAAAAAGAATTTAGAAGGTCAGATGGACTTTTGCTTGGTCGTATCATCACAGCCTTGGGATTGCTCTCCTTACATTCTGAGCTGTCAGCAAAGACAACACTGCTGTCAGACAGGCAGCCACCTCCCAACATGTAGAACAACTTCTTGATGGAAACATGCCTATTAAAGCAATTATGAGAATATTTTCTTACACAGTTTACTTACAATTTTCTGGATCTAACTTGCTGAAGACACACTGTCATGAGATTAGCTAACAGACCACTGCTTCTAAACCTAATGATGTATCATAAAGGCAAGACATTCCATTCTGTCTGTAATAACACATACGATATCATAATCAATGTGGTTACCACATCATTTGGAATCTATTGCCACATGCTCAGATAATCCATTTTAGGAAGTTAATTCCCAACTGATTAAATCACAAGTTGCTAAGAAATTAAAGTCCTAATATTTCTGTTTTGTAGATTACTAAGATCAAGGGATAATTTTTTTTGCCATACACTCTATCAAAATAAACAAATGCAGTAGAAATACAGAATTTCACAATAAATTCTAATATCATAACAGTTTAGTCTGTTTGTCTGTCTATAATACTTTATTCGCAATCTGATTGGCTGACAGAAACAACCAATCAGAGTGCAAATGCAGCATTTGGACAGGAGGTGGTGGCACAGCAGAGTGCCACCATGATGGTGAGGACACAAGGGATGGAGCAGGGAGGCCAGGCCAGTGGAGCTGGACTCACCCCCCCACTTTCTCCTTGAAGGTGGTGGTGATGGTGTGGGTGGAACAGCGGTGGTGGGGGCAACGCCAGCACAGATGGCCTTCCCCTCCCCCCCCCCGCCCTGCTCCCAGGAGGCAGTGGCAATGGAGTGGACAGAGTGGGGAACGAGGCCAGCAAGCGCTTAATTTATTATGGTATTGCCATTTCATCACTAATCTACAAGAGGGACACCATTATTAAGCTAAAATTTGTTTATATGGCAGGGATGAGCACTCTTAGGAACCCTG